GTCTCCCGCGCAATGAAGGTCAGAGCGACTGGGTTCATGCTATTGAAGGCCGCGGCCCGCGTGTCTTCAGCCAATCCGACAGCCCGGTCTCGTTCATTAGCAATCTATTGAACGCTATGAGCTCTACTACTGGCCCGACAATACACCAGCATGGAGGCGCATTGCACCTTTCTTTCGCCAATCCCATGGGCATGCCACCCTTCGACAGCGGGATGCGACGCGATATTGCTCGCATGCGAGAGACGTACACATCACGCACTGCTCGTGAAGACCCACACTCTGCGGTATCCTTCGTCAAGGCGTATACGAGCCAGCGCTGGCAGGAAGAAGCCCGGATCCTGTTCGGTCCTGGCGCGATAGAGAAAAGCCAGCGAGTGGTCAACTCCATTCTCAAGGTCATGGTTCCCCCTGCCATGGAAGCGGCGAAGAAGCGTTTGGAAGAACGCCAAGCTGAGGTCGCACGCAAGCTCAAGGAAGAGCAGGAACAGAAGGAGCAGAAGGAGCGTGAAGAGCGTGAGAAGCGCGAAGCACAAGAGAAGGAGGATCGCGAGCGACAGGAACGTGAAGCTGCTGAGGCTGCGAGCCGAGCTCAAGAGGAACCCGCAGAAAGCGAGCCAAAGACCGAAACCGAAACCGCACCCGAAGCACAAGCTATGGAGGGCGTCGAGGTCGGACAGTCCTCGTCAGCACCCGCCGACGCCGCCGCCGCTGAGCCCGCGCCTGCAGAACCTGCTGCGCCCCCAGCGTCGCGGGTCACGACGACAATTAGAGGCCACGAGTACGACATCACGGACCTAGGTATCGACACCGAGTATCTAGACGCTCTTCCCGAGGATCTGCGCGAGGAGGTTTTGATGCAGCAGGTAGCTGAACGTAGAGCCGAACAACGGGCTCAAGCGCGACGACAAGAGCAGCAACAGTCGCAAGCCCCGGCACAAGCGCAAGCCCCGGCCGCGCCCGAGGAGGCAGGTCCAGCAGGTGAAGTGCCTACAGACATCAACCCAGACTTCTTGGCTGCGCTCCCTCCGGAGATCCGAGAGGAATTGCTGGCGCAAGAGGCACAAGAGCGTCGACGCCGGGAGCGGGAAGAGCGCCGCCGTCGCGACCAAAGCAGTGCTGGTGCCGCCCCTCCACAGGCAGAGGATATGGATCCTGCAAGCTTCTTCGCGTCGCTAGACCCCAATCTGCGAGCTGCTGTGCTTATGGATACCGACGAGAGCATTCTGCGCCAACTTCCCCCCGACATGTCCGCAGAAGCGCGAGCAATGGGAGGTGATCGCCGGTTACACCAGTTCAACGACTTCGGCTATAGACGTGACCGCCGTGCGCAGGCAGAGGACCCTTCACAGAAGAAGAAGACCCGTCCTTGCGTGCAGATGCTTGACAAGGCAGGCGTTGCCACGCTCCTTAGGCTTATGTTCATCCCACAACAGGGAAGTGCTAAGGGTAGCCTGAGCTCCATCCTCCGCTATGTCTGCGAGAACCGTCAAAACCGTGCCGAGGTCATTAGCATCCTGCTCTCCATCCTTCAAGATGGTAGCGCCGATGTCAATGCAGTCGAGAAGAGCTTTGCCCAGTTGTCGATCCGAGCAAAGCAGCCTCAGCAACCAGCCGACAAGACTCCAAAAATCTCCCGCAAGAATGGCGCCCTGTCAATCAATGCCGATGTCTCTCCACTCATGGTCGTTCAGCAATGTCTCAACACACTTACCCAGCTGACTGAGAAGAACCCTGCTGTATGGCAGTTCTTCCTGACTGAGCACGAGACTGGCGTCGGGTTCAAGAATCGTGCGAACCGCAAGGGCAAAGCCAAGGAGAGCAAGGCGAACAAGTACCCAGTCAATGCTCTCCTTACCTTGCTGGATCGCAAGCTCATCGTTGAGAGCTCTACCATTATGGAGCAATTGACGTCACTGCTAAAGGTCATCACGGCCCCACTTCAAGTCCTCAAGAAGGAGAAGGAGAAGGCTGCTGAAGACGCAAAGAAGGAGGCTGAGGCCTCTGCAGAGGGTCAGAATACTGACAATGAGCCTGCCGACACCACAACCACGGAGGCTCGCCCAGAAGGTCAAGATACGGAGATGACAACTGCCCCCGAGAGCGCTGCTCAGCCCGACACCGCTACTGAGGGCGAGGGCAGTACTTCTAAGCCTGACGAGTCCAAGGCCGAGGATGAAAAGGCAAAGAAGCACCGCACACTCACACCACCTGATGTGCCTGAAGCCAACCTTCGACTCGTGGCTAAGATTCTGGCTGCTCGAGAGTGCAACAGCAAGGTCTTCCAGGAGACTTTGTCGGTTATCAGCAACCTCTCGCCCATCCCAGGTGCCAAAGAGATTTTCGGTCAAGAATTGCTTGGTATTGCCAAGGATCTTGCTAGCTCAACACTTCAGGATCTTGCCAGCTTGACGGTTCAAGTTTCTAAGGCAAGCTCGCCTACTGACGTTCAAGGCATCGCACTTGCCAAGTTCTCTCCAGCAAGCTCCGACCAGACTAAGCTACTGAGGGCCCTTACGGCACTTGATTATCTTTTTGACCCGTCGCGTGATAGCAAAGATAAGCCTGAGGCCGCTGCAGAGGCACTTGAGCCCGCCCAGAAGGAAGACATACTCTTGACCCTATACGAGGACTCTGCTTTCGCACCTCTCTGGGAAAAGCTTAGCGAATGTCTCACTGTCATCCGTCAGCGCGGAAACATGCTTAACATCGCTACTACGCTGCTTCCGCTTATCGAGAGTCTCATGGTTGTTTGCAAAAACACCACACTCAAGGACATGCCTTTGTCTAAGATGCTTCCCAAGGAGTTTGCTTTGTCCAGTCCACCACCTGAGAGCAGGATGGAGAACCTATTCTTCAACTTCACTGAAGAGCACCGCAAGATTCTCAACGATCTTGTCCGCCAGAACCCCAAGTTGATGAGCGGAACTTTCTCTCTCCTGGTGAAGAATTCCAAGGTGCTAGAGTTCGACAATAAGCGCAACTACTTCAACCGAAAGCTTCATTCGCGAGGTGGTGACCGACAACAGCATCAACCCCTACAGCTCTCTGTTCGTCGAGACCAGGTCTTCCTAGACTCTTTCAAGTCACTGTACTTCAAGTCGGCCGATGAGATGAAGTTCGGCAAGCTCAGCATCCGCTTCCACGGTGAGGAAGGTGTTGACGCTGGTGGTGTTACCCGCGAGTGGTTCCAGTCAATCTCACGCCAGATGTTCAACGCCGACTACGCTCTCTTTGTACCTGTCGCTTCCGATCGCACGACATTCCACCCCAATCGCCTCAGTTCCATCAACCCTGAGCATCTGATGTTCTTCAAGTTCATTGGTCGCATCATCGGCAAAGCACTTTACGAAGGTCGCGTCCTTGACTGCCATTTCAGCCGAGCGGTCTACAAGCAGATCATGGGCAAGCAGGTCAGCCTCAAGGATATGGAGACGCTTGACCTTGAGTACTACAAGTCCTTGGAATGGATGATTCACAACGAGATTACGGATATTATAACAGAAACTTTCTCAGTTGAAGTCGAAGCCTTTGGAGAGATGCAGACCGTCGACCTCATCGAAAACGGTCGTAACATTCCCGTCACCGAAGATAACAAGCACGAGTACGTCCGCCTCATCACTGAGCACCGTCTTGTCGGCGCCGTTCAAGAACAGCTCGAGAACTTCCTTAAGGGCTTCCACGACATTGTGCCCGCCGAGCTCGTTTCCATCTTCAGCGAACAGGAGCTCGAACTTCTTATTTCCGGTCTGCCTGACATCAATGTGGATGACTGGAAGAACAACACCGAGTACCACAACTACACGGCTGCCTCGCCACAGATCCAGTGGTTCTGGCGTGCTGTGCGAACATTCGAGAAGGAAGAGCAAGCCAAGCTGCTTCAATTCGTTACCGGTACTAGTAAAGTGCCGCTCAATGGTTTCAAGGAGCTTGAGGGTATGAACGGCTTCTCCAAGTTCAACATCCACCGCGATTACGGCAGCAAAGATCGTCTGCCATCTAGTCATACTTGCTTCAACCGTAAGTCATCTCCCCTAACCTTTCTCTCAACCCAATGTTAACAAATCTGACAGAGCTCGACCTCCCTGAGTACGAGACGTACGAAGATCTCCGCAAGGCCCTATACACCGCCATGACAGCTGGTGGCGAGTACTTCGGCTTCGCCTAAACCCACTCCGCTCACTGTCACAAAATGAGCTTCATTTACTCAAAAATGACGAACGAACGGCCTCTTTACCTCACGAATATCGCTTTTTCGATGATTACATATTACGATCTTCTTTGCATTGCAGGCGCAGGAAGGGCGTGTATGTGTGTACGGGATATAACTATACCCTTTTAGGTGGAGGAGCGAAGGAAAGGCAACGAAATGAGCATCTGGTAGATGAGGGAAAGAATAGTGATTGATGGTTATGCTCGGTCGTTTTTTTTCTTTTTCTCTCTGTGTAAGAGTATTGGTCAAAATTGGAGTGGAGGGAGTATTTTTCACGAGTTTATGAGATGAAGATGGAGTTGATGCAGGAAGCCTAGTTAGCTGGCTGGTTCGAACGGATAGGAAAGAGAATAATCTGGGAGTGCAGGCCTGGATTGTCTTTTTTGTACCTTGATGGGAGACTAGTTGAGTGGACTGGGCAAGGAGTTTTTCGAGTGAGAGGATTAGTGCGGTAGTAGATAGAGTTAATGAGTTTCTTTACTCAATATACCTGTTTTCGAGTCTATGAATGGCGTGAAATTTATGGCTGTTTCGTGTGAGAGTCGCAATATTGGCGTCGTCACATTCGCTCAGCATACTAAAGCGCATCGCTAGCCACTATACCCTCTGCCTGCCTCTCATTTCTCTCGGTTCGACTGTTGCGCTCATTACGTACCATGTCGAAAGTGCATGATGGGGCTTACCTGACCTGGGCAGTCAGGCACGGCTTACCCGATTAGGGCAACTATCGCATCCCACACATTGTGGGGGAAGAGGCACGAACAACATCATCTTAGTTCTTTTATAACATGCTTTCTACACTGTTCTTATCTCAAGCACCATCTTGCCATTACTGCTACTCGAAATTATCCAGATTACGTCAAACAGTAAGCTCAACCCTCCCAAATGCGATGGAAGCAAGACGGCGATCTCACAGCATTACTAACGCGCATCTTACAAACAGTGTCTGGAAACCTCGTCCCCCTCACTGTCATCAAAGGCGCAGGCCATGAGTTTATTCCCTTGCCAAAAGGCGATAATGCGACTGTTGCCGACTTTCATACGTAAATAGACCCCTCCCTCCCAGCCGGCCATTCCACTCTCCCCAATACTAACACCCACGCCAGCATCCGCACACAGACCCCTTGCTCACCCGCACACCTGACATCTGGCTTCTACAAGATCGAAGCCGGGCCCTCGAAACCTGCCTCTTATGATTTCGAAGAAACAAAATATGTCCTAAGTGGCCAGATCGACGTCTTGGATGAAGCAACTGGCATCACTCACCACTTGGTCGCCGGCGACTTCGCATTCTTCCATGTAGGATCGAAGGTGCAGTTTTCGACGAAGAGTGCTGGGATGGCGTTTTATGCTGTTACGAGGCCGGTGAGGGTCGCGCATCCGGGGTTAGTGGGCAGGGAGGAGAAGATGTCGAAGTTGTAAAAGGCCGCTGAAGACAGGATTGTGGAATTGAGGAGGGAAGTAAAAGAAGAGAGGGGGAAAATTCCAGGTTGTGGTGTTTTGGAAGGTAGGAAGAAGGGTTGGTTGATGTCGAATGACGCGGCAGATGAGCTGTTAATGAGCGCTTGCGGCACAAGGTCGCTGCAGCAGAGACGTTTGTTCATCGGCTCCTAAGAGTTCGAGGTCGGAATAATGCACGAAGAGAAATTGATGACCTCTCCTGCGTCAGGAACAAACCTCTCTGTCTATTGTGCGATGGCTGATAGACGTGCGGCGAAGTCCTTCTTTGTGCGACGATACCTAGGTACAGTCGCATACATATGCTGCGATTCACAGCGCTGTAGCAGTAGAACGCCATGCTCTCTATAATTCAGTACAATTCCGTCGCAAGGCACGAATGAAACAATCCCGTGCTAGGTCAAAGTCCGCGATGGTAGTGATGGGTTGAGTTTTACCTTGAGTGGTTACTCGAAAATGCTGCTCAAGCTGAGATGAGGACTGTTTCTACAGTGAACACAACCGTGACGAAGAGCGCTTTGAAACCTGTCACCACCAAGATTACCATAAAAAGGGAGAGAGAGAAGAGCAAAACATCACTCTTGGAACCCAGAGTGGATCCATGCACGCCATGAGCATTGTGTTATGCAAGCTCTTTTTCAGGTAGCCAAGGCCATGGTATGGGATTTCCAGTAGCTCGAGTCAAGGCACGCTCCACTGGAGCTTCTCGACCAGGTACACCGCCTGCACATGCAGTTCACGATGCTTGATATGTATACGTCGGATGGAGACTGTTTTAGCTGATCGCTTCAAATGGCTCTTGTGCTAGTGTATTGAATCGGAGCTCTAGAATGTCGGAGGCAGTCGAATGGTCCGATGTTGGCGCTGTGGTGGAGGATTTAGCGATGTGGTCCACCTCCGACTTTCAGATCAACGCCGTGCTGGTCTGATGCCTAGTCGCAGCTATCGATATCGCCTTCAGTGCTGGAGATGAGGGATTGTAGTAAGGTTCATGAACCGCCATCAGCGACAAGACATTGGGTGCGATAAGACCTACCAAGCATTGTCTCTCCCGGATGCTTGAACAGTGATGTCTGCGCCGCCGGTTCTGCCCGAAGCGTCCCCCAACCCGCCATGCGAGAGCCATGCGAGGACCCCGGGTTCCACCCACCTACCCAACAACACGGGCTGGAGAACGGGGGAAGACGAGGCTGGAGCGGAACAAGTCGGACGGCGTACTTGAGTAAGGTATGCGCCCTCTGCACAGAACTCCCGGCCCGTCCAAAACAGGCATGGGCGCCGAAGTAAAGCGTTTTCTCCGATGGTGAGGGGATATGCATGGCCTTCACACTAACCCGCCCCTCCCCATGCTCCGATTCCGATGCACGCATGGACTTTCTGATCTTGGGGGAATTGCTATTCGCGCCGTTTCCTGACACATCACGAGGGCGTTCGACGTCATTGCGCGCGTTGTTTGTCGGCGTAGCGCGCAGAGTTTGGTATTGGTTGGGCCGTTCGAGATGCCTGGTAGTTTGGGAACTGGGAGAACTGGTCGCGAACGTTACGCCATGCGCCACTGCCGCATGTTCCGCGATGCTTATCTCTATGTCAAACTTGGCGCCCTCAATATCAGCGATCAAGACATATTGCTGTGGTATGCAAAAGTTCCTCGAGACGACTACACGCGCGACCTTCCACACCTAGCCGGAGAGTATCTCGGCAGGAATATTGGATCCAACCGCAGAGCCGCATGTGGGGCGCTAGAAGCTTCTTTGCAGCCAAGCTCCACCAAGACGGTCGGTCCTTTGCTTGTTTATCTCCACTCGTCTATACTCTTCCTGGGCAGCCCATGATAAGTCTGCAACAACCGGCTTTGCGCTGGTGCTTACTGCCCCGGCATTGCGATCCGCGCAAGGCAAATTTTTTACCGCGTTGGTGCCATGGAGACTCCACGCGTACGTCACGTCACGTTTGTGGTGGGATGGAGAGCGCCATGGGGAGGCTTCTCCATGGGCATGGGTCGTCTCCACTGGGGTTTATAAAGGGCGGAGATGCGTCCGCTTGAGGGGTGGTTGTGAGATACCAGCCTTTTGCTGCAGCCTTTCTCCCTCTTTATTCCTCTTTTCCTCACTGTTGATTTTTTGTTGATCACTGCCCATCATGGACGAGAAGGACACCAAGATGGTTGAGGAGACCTCGTCGCCGCAACAGACTCTGCAAACAGAAAAAGCCGACAAGATCCAGGTCGCACCTACACCGGACTACTCCGCCCCCAAGGCAAAGACAGAACAACTCGAGGATGCGAGAGGATGGGAATCCGAGAACCTGATCCAAGATCTTGAGAAGGAGTTGGAGCAGGCCAACTACAAGAAGGGCTTCTTCGACATCGAGTTCAAGAACCCCAAGCATTTCACATGGATGATTGTCGCGTTCGCATCCATGGGTGGTCTGCTATCTGGCTTGGACCAATCGCTCATCTCTGGTGCTAACCTCACACTTCCCGACGACCTGCACCTTACTGCCCAGCAAAACTCGCTCGTCAACTCTGGTATGCCGCTCGGAGCCGTCGCTGGCGCCTTCCTCATCTCGCCATGCAACGAATACTTTGGTCGCCGCTGGGCCATCATCATCTCCTGTATCCTCTACACCATCGGTGGTGCGCTCGAAGCTGGATCTATGAACTACGGCATGATCGTCGCTGCCCGCGTCATTCTCGGCGCTGGTGTCGGTCTCGAAGGTGGTACCGTCCCCGTCTACGTCGCTGAGACTGTCGAGAGCAGACTCCGTGGTAACCTTGTCTCCCTCTACCAGTTCAACATCGCCCTCGGAGAAGTTCTCGGCTACGCTGTCGCCGCTATGTTCATCACTGTACCAGGTAACTGGCGTTACATCCTTGGTAGCTCGCTCGTCTTCTCCACCATCATGGGTGTCGGTATCCTGTTTATGCCTGAATCTCCCAGATACCTTATGCACAAGGGAAAGCCTCTTGAGGCCTTCAAGGTCTGGAAGCGCATCCGTGGTACTGCTACCCATGAGGCTCGCGAGGAGTTCTTCGTCATGAAGGTCAGCACTGAGATGGAAGAGGCTGAGGTCGCTGCTGGACGCACCAACCGCTTCCCATGGATGGACTTCTTCACCAAGCCGCGTGCTCGCCGTGCCATCATCTACGCCAACATCATGATCTTCCTCGGCCAGTTCACCGGTATCAATGCCATCATGTACTACATGTCCGTCCTGATGCACCAAGTCGGCTTCGACACCGTAACCGCCAACTACATGTCTCTTGTCGGAGGCGGTTCCCTCCTCCTCGGTACCATCCCTGCCATTTTCCTCATGGAGACGTGCGGTCGTCGTTTCTGGGCCATTGCCATGTTGCCCGGTTTCTTGATCGGTCTCGTCCTTGTCGGTATTTCATACCACATGGATTCTTTGAGCGCTACTCTAGGCACCTACTTCACCGGTCTGATCCTCTACGAGCTGTTCTTCGGTTCCTACGCCGCATTGACCTGGGTCATTCCCTCCGAGGTCTACCCCACCTACCTCCGTTCCTACGGTATGACCACCTCCACCGGATGGCTCTTCCTGTCCTCCTTCATCGTCACCTACAACTTCACCGGCATGCAAAATACCTTCACCAAGACTGGTCTTGCGCTGGGTTTCTACGGTGGTATCGCCGTGCTGGGCTGGTTCTACCAGATCTTCTTCATGCCTGAGACTAAGGATCTGACGCTGGAGGAGATTGATCAGTTGTTCCAGAAGCCTACTCGTCAGCTTGTTGCTGAGAATGCGAAGAGCTCGTGGCAGGTTACCAAGGACTTGTGCCACTTTAGGTTCAAGAAGGTCTTCATTGATAACAACAGGAGGCGCGGACGCGAGGAGTAGGAGATGGAGAGTCTCGATAGAAGGGTTTCGAGTTGCTACGTGCATCTGAAACTGTAGAGGTTCATTAGGATGAATGCTCGTATTATGAGCGTATGATGAACGCCGGAATATTTGGTCGGAAGATATGATAATTACAATATACCCACAATGTACATTTTGATTTAAACATACTTTACCATTCCCTATAACATTACGATTGAGGTTTTTGCATGTCTTACCTTGATACATTCTATATAAGAAACCATAAGAGGCTTAGATGTCTCCAGCGCACCCTCATCGCACCCACATTGCGCGAAAACTTCACTAGATCTCACACCTTTTCGCCTTCTGACCACATCTCATCCCCACGTTAGCAGCCCCTTAAGACCCGAACCAGAAACCCCTTCAAATGCCAACGCAAAACCCAAGACCTCCTGTCATCTCCCTTGAACCCCACACTTGATGTTGAAGTTGTATCTTTACTCAGACAATCCCAAGACAGTCCCATCGTCTTCAGCATAGCTTAAGACGAAATCCAGACACACTCATTCTACACCGATGACTAGCGCCTCCTACAAAACATGTTCTTCCGCATGCCGTTTCACGCTCTTTACACGTACACGAAAGGCGCTCTTCATCGCCCTCGTGGAAGTACGCTCATTGACCAACAATATCGATAATTAGCACTGCGTTTATTACACTCATTTTGGGGTAGCATTAGAAGACTGGGCCTTATTATTGGTCTACGTACAACGCACTTCTATATTATCTTCCCCCATATGCCTACACCTTGAACAATCCTACCATCCTACCAGCCTCCAAATCCATCCCAATCATCATCCATCAAACCACCAACCATGCCACTAGATCACCTCCCCTTCATGCTAACACCCACGAAACTTCCCGCTATAGTCAGTGGAAACGCTTCTTCCGCCACCAACATCCCCGGCGTGCTTCTACTCATCCTCGTCACCAGTCTGGCAGTCGTTGGAGTGAATGTTGTGGGGTTTGTTATTGGAGTGGTTGGGTGTATGGGTTGGGACGCTGTGAGTGGAGGAGGAAGTAGAGATGGTATGTCTTTATTTGTTCTTCTTCCGACATAAGGTTGGGTGGTGATTGAGTGCTTGGAGGGAGAAAGCTGACATTTTTTCGTGTTAGGTAACGTTACCCCGGAGAGTCAGGATGGTATCGATGATTATACCGGGGATAGAAGGAGTGCTGTGGTATCTTCGGGTATCGTTAAAGTACGTGGAGACACTGCATAGTTGGGTGGATGTGAGGAAGCGGACACATATGTTGTGGAATGAAAGCATGGCGCTGCTCGGCCAGAGGAATGACATTGACCTATTGGAAAAGAGGAAGTCCCAAAAGAGAGAAAGGTATGCCGCGGAAAATAGCAGCGGAGCTCCTTAGACAGAAACAACGACCCGTCGCAACAGTTGATACACAAGCTGAGCGGAACACCGTCTCTAGACCTGCTTCCATGCTCTTCCCTGTCATATGTATATGATCCATACCAACACCATCCCACGCGCTCAAATCTGCACCTTCTTAAACTTCAACGCCTTCGTTGGATCAGGCATACTCTGCGTCCCCACATCAACCATCGGATACCTTTCCGTCTCATCATTCGGCATCTTAACATCATACTCGAGAATCAGCCTAACCAAAATCATCTTGATCTCATTGGCAGCGAAGAAGCGACCGGGGCACGCATGGGCTCCGTAGCCGAAGTTGAGGTTGGTCTCATTGGTGGTGACGAACTGGTTGCGCGCGATATCTGCTGCTTTACCGCTGGCGCGTGCCTTGTAGGCGCGGAAACCGTCGAATTCTTCGGCCGAGGGGTAGTTCTTTTCGTCGAGGTAGACGGCTGCGGAGGGGACTTCGATGGTGACGCCAGGGGGTATGTATTGCCCGTTGCTGAGGGTGATGCCTTTGAGGACGCGGCGGTTAAAGGCCGCTGGAGGGGGAGGGTTAGTTGTCATGTTCTTCCACGGTAGTATGATTCACGCGAGATTGACGGGATGGAACTTACTGTAGCCTGTTGGGTAGAAGCGAATAACTTCCTTCATGTAGCTATCGACTTTCTCCATTTGTTGCAGAGCGCGGGAAGTGATGACTCCATCGTTGTTGGCCATGACGTTGCGGATCTCCTCGCGAAGAGGATCAATGTACTCTGGTGTGACGGCGAGTGTGTGCATGATGCTGGTGACGGTCATACTCGTAGTGTGGATGGCGGCAAAGATGAGACTGAGTTGGAACCTGGTAATGTCGTCGATCGAGTCTTTACCTTGACCCCTCGTGATCATCCACTGCAGCATGTCGTCTGGCTCTTGCCAATTCGGGTCTTTTGATTTGGCGGTCATCCTCTCCTCTACGATCGGACGCAGAAACTCGCTTAGTTGTTGCTCGATCTTGCGAAGCTTGACAATCTCTGGGAGGCGGGGACACAGGAACGGCTTCAGCCATGGGCGGACCTTCTTGCAAGCTGTGACTCCTGCCACGAGATCCATTGTATAGTTTGTTCCGAGTTTGATGTATTCTGGGTTGCGACATAGTTCTGGTCCGACAAAGATGCGACCGGAGACTTTTGCAATGACATCGACAAGCTCTTTGAAAATGTAAACGTCAGTCCATTCTTCGCATGGGGGCATAGCCTCTCGTAGTGCGCTGTCGACTTCTGTGGCGATTGTTGGGTTTAATCGAGCTACCATTATATCAGCTTCATCAGCTCGCGAGCAGCGTTATTCGTTTCCACCTACGGAGTGCTGGCGTGAGGTCCTGCTTGACCGCATGAAGACCGGTCTGCCCCTCAACCTGCAGTTTGGTGTATTTGACTTCCATGAGCTACAGGCGGTTAGCTTTGTTTCGACATCAATTGCTCATGTCTACATACGGTCTTGACGGCGGCAGGGAAGCTGAGAACATCATCAGGGAGTTTTCGCAGCTCTGGGAGCAGACTTGAGGGTATGACAATGTTGTCTTCGCCTAGAGAGGTATGAGCGATGCATATATCTTTTTCTGGGAATACGCTAACGTACCCTGCTCTCCTACAATTCTGTATACCGAGTCTTTGAACTAGCGGCTGTAAGCAAGAGCATTTAAATACACCCATGAGTAGCTTACTTTGGCGTAACCGTCTTCATACATCTTCTTGGCGGAAGTGAGGTATGCCTGTCGGTGTTTCTCTCCGCTCTCTCCGCCGAGGACCGGCAGGCTTCCCAGCTGGGCCTTTCGCTTGAGCTTAGGGATGTATGCACAAACTGCGAAAAAGAGGGTTGCTATGGCCACAGTCTGCAGCGTGTGCGTCAATTGCGCCATAGTTTTGCTGTCCATCATCGTAGATTCCTGCGTAGGAGGCACCACGGAGGTGTTGATGTTTTCGAATTTGGCGGCCATCGTCGAGGTAAGCGGTGGTGGGGTCGCCCTTTGGTTCAACGTTGCCAACCTGCGGGTGCTGCGTGTTGATGTCTGGGAGGTGGATGGTGAGTGACGGACGAAGTCATCACGCGGTCGCCCTTCTACATATATCGCGAATGTTTCCCCTGGTCTAGAAACGCCAGGATCATTGGTGCGCTTCGCTCTATACGGTTGATACGGTGTATACACAGACCGGAACCTTGGATCCGGCGAGCGCGCTGCTAGCGAAAGAGCCGTCAGCTGACCGCTAGTGTGTGACAGGCAAAGCGCTCGACGATCCCCAGGCCAAGCCTTACCGTTGCGTTTCGAAGTTACACCTTGAGTTCAGCCCTCAGCTTTGCAGTCGATTTCGACGTCGGACCACCGGGCCAAGGGGAAAACCCGGACATTCTTAGCAAGTCTCTCGTGTGTTCTTCGTGGAGGCTGCTGAATATGCCTCAGCGTCACCGATCTTTATCTTTGACGGTGTGAGACGATCCAATCGATGGCCTTGCAGTACGGGGAGTACGCCCGACGTGCTTCACCAAGCAGCCTAGACTGACGCGTATGTGCGGCTTGGAAGGATCATTACCCTGGAAGAACATTGGTGAGGTCCGTGAGACGCTTCAGCGGGACCCTGACAACGGATCGCACGCGTCCGTTCTGGCGATCAAAGTGCAATCATCTGTCGTGTCGGTGCACACAGCACACGATGAAAATGTTTGTGTAAACAGGTCGTTAAAGGAGGGCAGGTGCAGCAAGGAGCTGATGGACCCTTGCTGCGGCTGATGCCTCTTCCGTCCTCCGTTCATCTAACCGAGATCTCTACGCGAGGCTGCTGCACCGGCACGGGAATGTACCCGAATTTGACGAGGCCTGCCATTCTTCGCTGGCAATTCTCCATCATTATGATTCATACTGGTTCGTATTTGAAGTCGATGGATCCGACATATGACTGCCTGTGCAACTACCCAACTTTGCGAGAATCAGAACCTGCAGCACGGACCCCACAAGCAAGAGGGCATGGCTATACACACCGGATCACGATGCCCCGACATGTCGCTGCACGACGTCCCTCCTTGTCCTCCAACAAATCCAGCGTAAGCAATCTATCATGAAAGACCCATGGAGAAACCATATAGCCGATGCGAAAGATCCCGTGTCGCTTACCCTAGCAAATGGACATGTCCACGCGTCCAACCAGGCAACGAAGAAGTAAGCGCCGTTAAGTCAGACCCATATCTCGCGCATTTCAAGTCAAAACCCAAGCACATGGCCAGCCACGCTCAACGCGTAGTATTACAAAAGACATACGTACTGCCACATCTACAACACCGCTGTGTCACCCAGCGAGCTGTAGAACAATCCTCGTCTCGACAAACTTTATCTCGCCGTATCGCGCGTATTCGGTACCCAATCAGAGGAAAGAAGAGCTCTACCGTCCAAAACGCAAATGTGTAGTCAAACTTTCGCTTTCGCTTTCGTTGCTGAAGCCGGTCACTGCCCCATAATCACCAGTAGGCGGGCCGATTTCTCCACCTCTTCGCCGTCATCAATCCGAGCTTTAGATAATGGCATACCCACAACCCAGTGCCATCACGGGACCTATCCACATCCGTCGACAGCATGCGTATGGCCTTGAGATGCAACTGAGTTTGAGATGATGAGGTACAAATAACCTTTAGAGTTCTGCAATAAGCTTCGTTTGTCCGTTTCTAGTTCGAAGGTATTAGTCAACAATGTAGTCAGCAGCTGTGTCTTTCTGTTTCTTCTGAGCGGAATACGTTCACGGGTCCTAATGTGATGGTCGAACCATTCCAATGACCCACCGATCCCATCAGATTGCAAAAGAAGATGTCACCAGTCAAGAACGAGAAGAACAGTGAATTGCAGAGGCAGATATAGATGAATTCATGACAAATATACTAGCAGTCCGTTACCCTTCTCCGCCCCAAAACACCCAAGTCGTGATGGCCAAAGCCACAGCCTTTATGAATCAGAGGCGCGTCTGACGGCGCTTCGAGCTGCGTGACGAGAGACATGCGGCGAGGGAGTCGATGGCCAGATTCTTGAGAGCTTTTGGGCGCAGCTCTTGATGTTCTATGGAAACGTTAGCAGTGTGACATCCCGAGTGCGTTCATTCCGAGTCCTAAAAGAGGAATTCGGTAACAAATCTTATCCAGTTGGATCGGGTAATGAGGACGTTGAAGTTGATATTAGATTTGACGAGCCGCTTTGAAGAAACCAAGAAGGAGACGGAGGTATGCAAGGAGAAGAAACTGTGCGCTTCCGAGATGGCGAGATAGCGGAAAACGATGAGTTCAATTTGATGGGGAGCGAATGGCGCAGATTTCTACTTGGAAATCGAGAATATCTAATGTATGTAACTTACCAGGAGAAACTATGTAGTACGGATTCTACGAAATGACTAGCAAAGGTAGAAGCGAAGTGGTATGAAGTAGCATGAAAAGAGTGAAGTGAAGTGAAGTGAAGTGAAATGGAGATGAAAGTGTGTGTAGGTTCGACGTACCTGTACGGGGTTCAAGCGAACAATAAGGTAATAGGGAGGACAGAAGGGCTAGCCTCTGAGGGCTGAGTTCACGCAACCTGCATCCTTCCACTTGCTTGGGCCTGTCTGTTCATATCGAATGTGCTGTCTAAACCCTTCTTGATGACCGTCCTCACTAGTGTTGATGTGAATGGCGTTCCTTGTATCCTGTGGATGAAGGACTGTAGTGCTGGTGGAAGGCGGAGACTGAACGCGAATTCTAATGTACTCTTTTTGCGCTCCTAGACGTAGAACTACAATCTAGGTCCGCTGTCGTATGAGGCCCAGATGATCTTCTTGGCAAGACCCTTGACCTTGACCAGGCGAAGTTATCATCGCTGCCTGGTTTGGCAAAGGACTATCCTGAGGTATACTTGGAGGTAGATGATAAGACAGACGTCGAGGTGGGCATGAAAGCTGTAGATGTGATGAGGAAGGCGGAGAGGGAGGTCTTGAAGTAGCTTGAAATCTGCGATGCGAGGTCCAGCAATCGTTGAGTGCTTGCAAGATCCAGTAGCCATTGGCTTGTTCCAAAGAGCAGATGGATAGATGGCCGACTAGAAAGGGTTGTCGATGAGGTGACAGGCCCGGAGACAGGCGTTGGGGGTAGACTGTCGTACAACAGCAATGTTAGCAAACAGTAGATGAAGCGCAACCACGTTGACGAGTCCAACAGAAGGGGTGGATGCTGTTCAAAACGGACCAGAGGCGACGAAAGGGATCGTTCATAATGACACGGATACTGGACGAGTGCATACAGTTGAGGGGCGTTAAGGATGAAGAAGCGTTGTTGAATATTGTTGATCGGACTAGCATGTGTGAGTGGCTGACGAAAGGAAAAATCAAAGTATTCGCGGAAAGCAGATTTTTATGGCAAGAATCCTCCCAAATGTGAGCACCTATTCAGGACATTTTGTGTTGTTGGACGGAAGTTGCTGGTGCAGATGGTTGAGAGGGCATGATTGTAGAGAGAGGCAATAGGGAAGCAATGATCTTGAAAGACAGAGGTGGTCTCTGAGAAGCATCGCAAAAACAGTAGCAATCGCAAGCACTAGCATCTGGCATTTCCATCTTGACCACAGTAGAGTTTTGGCGAACAACATATTTGAGCCCACCAAGTCCACCTACGAACCTGCGCTTTCCTCCCCAAACTTTCGCGAAGAGTACCTTTCCTATGCTCTCAAGATCTGCTCGAAACAGCCGCTTCTAGCCCATCCTTCGCAAGGCCAAGTAATGAGATTCTATCGCACAGCTCCTTGAGATGCTGAATCTTCGACCCAACTCAAGCCATCTCCAAAACCAACATTTGCCAGCAGAAACCCGCCAATTCACTCTTCGCATTGAGTGATGAGTTATTACAGGCGGAGGAGGACGCTGTTGTCGTGTTCGTTGGTGTGCAAGATAGCTATGTTGACAGACATTCTGCACACTAACGAACACTACAATAGCGGCCCTCTCCGCCCGTAACAGCCCATCTCCGCACAATATAACCCATGCCGTCATCATACAGCTCGTCTGCAAGGCCGCGTAAAGATCAACGCCGTGCCGTTCATGTTGCATACCATCTCGATGACAGGCGACCAACAAGGCAGCCTCACGCGACCACCCACTGGACCCTCAGCAATATGTTCTAGCGGATCTAAAATCTGCAGGGTCGATCGAATCGAGAACGACGGGCAGAGCGAACCGAGGCGAGACGGAGAACCGAAAGCGATGTGGAGGATATGGCAGGATCGACAAAGATCGACGTGGCGATGTGTTCCGCGGAGGGGATGACAAAGCGTGTGGGTAATAGCGGATATGGAATACGGCTGGTGTTCGCTGTTTGGCGGGATTTTCAGGCTGCTCGTGCTCGTATGTGGGGTTGTTGCAGTGGTCGAGATGGGTGTTGAGCATGTCGGCTCTTCGTTTCGAGATGTATGACTGCGGGTTGGATTGGCCTTGCGCCCTGCGGCGGCGGAAGGAACAGTGGTCCATTTTTCGAATAACGTATGCCGGCATTAGGCGGAGTGTGTTGCCTGCGCATCTCGTTTGTAACCAGTCGTTCGTTCGTGCGATCAAAGACCCGATTAGTGCGCCTTCGTTCTTCCATCTCTTGTCTCTCAACCCTCGCCTCTCATGTATACCAGCACGATCACTCTTCCCCTCTTGTTGAATTATCCCATTCAATCATCAAGTTATCCGACCCTGTCTCTTCCAACACCTCATTTCCCATTCTCTCGCGCCTCTTTCTCCTTCCTGCGCTCAGCAAAGACAGCCATCTTCCTTTCCATCTCGTTCTTCTTAAGCATTAACTGGGCGCGCGTGGTTTCGAGCTGTGCGATGCGTTCTTCGGGCGTGGCTTCGATCATGTATCGTGTTTTCTACAAGTAGTGGGGTTAGTGGGTGACGCCAGATAGTTGAATGTTTGAAGCGAGGGAATGCTCAGCGTTCGCATGAAGGAGTAGGGCTGTAGAACAGAGAGCCGTGATATATGAAGAATGGCGGAGCATACCTGTTTAACTTCCTGCTGCCCTTTCAATCCCGCGCCGTAGATAGTTCCCGTAATTGTGATTGAAGCGACGGCAGCTGTCATGATCCACCGACGGACCGTCTGAAGGGTCGCCATGGCTCGTGAAATTCCAGAAGCAGTGTGGTTCGGTACAACGACGTGTCAATGGCGGCGCATAGTCATGTTGCGATGAACCAAAAGTTGATCTGGGGGGAAAAAGTCGACGACCTTCGGTGGATATCAATCAACCGCCAAGCCGTTTTCGCCGCGGGAGTCCCACCAACAAAGCCGATGCCGTGCGACGCGCCTTCCCCCACACGCACGCACTCCAACACAACACAAACAAACAACTCCGTCGAAGCCTCTCCACCTTGTGTCCGAGCCCTTATCGTCGCTCTCGTAAAAAAGAAAACGATTCGACAATCGCAATGTCGAACATCCCCCGCTCACACACCCCAGCCGGTGGTTCACGCCTCAGCACCGTCCCCTCGCAGAAGCCGCGCCAACTCTCACACCTACAAGCGCAACTCGCGCAATTAACAGCGAATATGTCGGATCTGGAAAGCTTGATGCGTATGACAGCCGGTCAGGCGCAGGATATGCGTGGGCTGGGTGGATATGCTGGTGCTATGTGAGTTGCGACACCCTCTATCCATGCACCATGAAATTGCGCGAGGAGATGTTGGGTTTCTGCTACAGGATAGCGTACTAATAAGATATGTGTAGGTTTATGGCAGCGAGTAAAGTTCTGGGTGAAGAGACGGTCAAAGGCGGAGGTGGGAATGGTGATAAGGAAGGCAAGGACGGCGATAAGTGAGGCTGCGGGCTGAGAAAGGAGAGAGATTATGCACCATCCCACCAAAAGTACCACGATACGGATCGACGATAACGCGCCGCGGAGTTGTATCTACAACGATAGACGAGAACGGATATTGTGCAGGAGATGGGGAGGCCAGGTACCCCCATCTCTTCAGAGAAGACACGCGGTATTCTTGCCAGCCAGCAAGAGATGAATTGGGTCAGATCACAGGAGCGTATCACAGTTGAAGCACCCATACTTCTTGAAGATAGGCTTCACTGTAAGACGCATGGATTGGTCCTGTGGACGCGACGCGTCGCGTTGTGTCATAATGCACGATTGTGCGACCGTGTGGTAGATACCCAGCAATGTACTCAGACACCACCATAACGATATAGTCACCCATCCCACCCTACACCCTACACTCTACATTCGTCATTCCAACATGTTATGCCCATCCGTCGTTCCAATCACTTCGCAGATGAAACTAGACAGTGGCCGACGGCGAGCGACCCCCTAGTCAGCAACCTACTATTGAAACCGCGCACAGATATCTTGCTCCCTCCCCAACGTTCTCCAGACTACCAACAGATCACCAGCATAGCTCCCGTTCGCCGCGTTCAGCTCCCCATTATCCAATGATACTAATATCCAACCAGCATGCCCGCGTACCTTGCATCAGATAAGGGTCCCTACCGACTTACCGACTTTACCGAGAGATAGGTACTATCACTATCTTTACTATCTCCTCGCTGCCATGGCGTTCATGTCCACGATAGGAAGGCCAGCCACGCACGTCGTTACGCTTCCCCAGACTTCATTGGCTTGATCGCCACGTTTCAGAGTTTGTGAGGCTCAATGGCCCCCTGGAGGGGGGGTTGGCAGTCAATCATGGACCACTAAGCGTGGCGTTATCAATCGCGCAATGATAACGAGCGATGGTCTCACCGGCCTATCTATGCGGGCGTAGAGTTTTTCGCTGGGTCTGAGCGTGCGTGTGCTTCGTTTATAAGTAGACGGGTGTCGTCTTTGTGTGTTGAATTCGGTGGTGTTTACTATCGCCGCTTGATACGATTTCCGCCCCGCTGTTCGACAGCCTCTTCCGGAACGCCAAGACAGGATGCTTTGGATTGATGCGACTTTACCTACCTGGGATGGATAGATGATGGACGACGGATGATGACGATGAGAATAAAAAGACGGTGAGGAGAGTCCATGGTAGTCCCCGGGTTACCTCGATCGGTTCGACCTCGTTGCGAGAACAGCCTCACGATTTCACGACCAGCCATGAAGCTATTCGCACATTTCACGCCGCCCGCCGAGCCACGCAACGCAGTATCTCCGTTACCCATGCCCGCCGAGTAGCGCCGTCAGACGTCATTGTCTTCTCGCTACATCGGCGAAGCGTTGATCGCTACAACACGCTCGAGTGACATCGAGTCGCAGCGCCCGACCAAGGCTGACCTGGCCTGATCAACCGGAACAAGGACTAGAAACGGAACGAGAGCACGCGAGCCTCCACGTCAGCGCCGCGGCAGCAAGCACACGAGCAGGACCCTTTCCCGCCCGCCGTCGTCTTAACCCACGATCTACCCCCCAGTACGATGGCCAACCGTTGCGAGCCCAACTGTGGATCGCCCTCCGTCCAAGCGGCCATGTGGTCGATGAGGAGAGAGACGGACGGGCGAGGCGCCATCGCCATCGTCCAGAGGGAAATTTCCCCCGAATCATTTTGCCAATATACAACGCCTAAATGAATCACGTACACGGACCCCCACGGGCATCCCGCGTTTTCGTATCAGAAGCGCATGCGACCTTGCCCACTCAGCAGACAGCCAATGTTTCAACTCGACCAACAAAGACGTGCATCCGTCTTGTGTTAAGACGAGGGGGGGGGGGGGGGGGCTGTGTAATACCATTTCTTCAGCGGGTCGGGCGGTTGGGTAGTTCCGCGTCAGTTGTGGATTTGCGTAGTATACAAATTTCAGCAGCCAGCACGCCATACAGCCGTCCGGACATTGCGTGCTCGCAACGGATATTTCCGCGGTAGTCCTGGAGAAGCACGAGCGAAATGAAATAGAGCGGGATCGGATGGTCGCTTCGCTTGGTCGGCAAGAAGAAAAATCAGGATTACAGCCAGTGCAAGACCGCAGAAACCAGAACAGCATGGTAAAATTGCAAGTGTGTTGAACGACTTCTGCGTCTGTAGCGTGGCCCAAGTCGGCAATGCGGCGACAAGCGAGGTTAGAGCGGATTCTGTCGGGTTTAGCAAAGCGTCTAGGCTCCACATCCTGGCTGATTGCATGCATGCAAGTCAGATGCAAGTGGATTAGGAGGCTTGCATGAGACAGGGGATACAGCAGCGAGGCCGCTTACTCTCTGGGGCAATGAGCGTGGGGTTGTTGCGTGCGATCAATATATGGCATACCCTGCCTATGCATGGTTTTGACATTGATGAGTAACTGCTAGCGGGCGGGTTGTTCCTGTAGGATTTGTGTAGGAGTGAGATGCAGGATTAGTTGTTTACGCTGTTGCGCGCCCCATGTGTATTCGTACCTTTTTTTTTCGTTTCCGACCCTTTGACATGTGAAACCCCACCACAGTGGTAGGACAACAGGGGACCGGTGATTGTATCCGGGTTAGCGGACGCGCAACATCAAACATTGGGTGTTCGCGGCTGGTGCTAGATGAAATCGACGGCCGAAGTAATGCCATTGCAGATGCCGGAGGGAGTCGAGTGGAAAGATCAACATCGCCCTGGACCCTTTACTTTGGTGGGTAACCCGGTGGGTACGCAGTTCGACCTGGAAAAGCAATATGCTGCATGAAACGAGTCCACCAATAGCCAGTTCCCTGTAGGCTGATATTAGGGACAGCTCGCGGCTAAAATTGTCGTCCGGTTGGGAAAGGAGGGGACCGAGAGCGAGAGAGCGAAAGCAACGGCGTCCGATCCACAGGTACCGTTCAGGATGTCTCGAGATCGTTGGGAATGTAACGTGGTTCGTTGTCAGTCGGACAGTGTCTTGAAGGAGCCGTCGAGTCTTCCCTGCCCGATGCGGCCCTAAGATGAATTCGAGATCTCGAACAGCAATAGGTGCATAGTTCTAGAAGGAGAGGTACGTCCGCCGACAGCGGCAGCGGCTACAGGACAAGCTGCATGTGTTCTCGAGTTTACAGTTCAGTCATCTCCACCGTCCGCGTCACCGTTGGATCTTGCATTGTCCTGGTAATGTATCTCCCACCCGTCCGGATCTTGACTGCGGAACCGCATGTCAGTCAGGCCCCCAGGCTGGGAATTGAAAGTATATAATTGTGAAGAAGCAGAATTTGGTTGTGCCAATGCCCTGTGCGGGAGGAGCAGCAGCCCAATGGCGTCAGCTGCAGTGTTACTGTTGTTGAATGCGCCACAAACTTGAACTGGCGTATGTTTTCTGGTACCGCCAGGCGTTGTCGGATGAGCGACTAAAAGCGCAGTTCACTTGCAACCACGTGCTCTGCGCTACGTGCGGTGGATCCGTTGTCGCACACGCCCGTCGATAGCTGTGGGCCTGGTAAACAAAGACCCTGAGATTTGTGAGGCTATCGGGAAATCTAGGGAAGGAAGTGCCGAGATGCAGTCGCGTTCGGCACCATTCGGATGACATGCTCCACCGTCGGGTAAACGATGGGAGTGCTATGGATCTATACACGCGGTGAAAGCCCTCTTGTTCGGCGCTGATCACAAGACATGATACTGCTACTGTATGCAGTCGGCTGACAAGCTCGCGTTGACGGTGAGGCAGGCGTGGCAAGGCATACCTGCCGTGGGTTGTGAATTGCAGCGTCCATCGACACTACAGCGTAGCGTAGACGTACAGCATCGCCTGGGTGCTAGGCGCTGTAGACGTCGACAGGAGCGGGTAGGCAATGCACAGGAGCCAATCGAGGCGGGCTGTCTCTTCGCGTAAGCTTTTGCCGGCTGGTGTTGGTGGGCCGTAGTCGTGCAGTAGAACATGTCAAGAGGGAAAACTGGCGAGTCCTGAAGGAAGTGACGTCCCGGGATCAGCGCAGTGCAGATGGAATCGTGGTTTCTCTAGTTGTTCTCGAAACGAAACACCGAGGGTCTAAGGTCCTTCTGGTAGGGCTCTGGTGCTGGCTGGCGTGTCTTGTCTGCACGACAGCGCGAAGCACGCCGACAAATTGGCCGCTCTTGATTCTGAGCTCCGAGACTCTGTCCGGGGTTCCCAAGTATCCTCGCAGCACGGTTCAGGCGGTCTCGATAGGAGCAAGGGCGTGCATGCTAAGCGGCAAGGCAAGCATTCTCCCGTTCAGCCCACACACACCTCGCGGGCCATGACCTCGACCGCCGTGGGTCATCGCATCTGAGGTTGCAGTGACTGCGGGCCCGGAGGCTTCACGCCGCAAACGCGTCAGGTATTGGTGTCGTGTGCTCGCAGCATTGCTTTTCTGAGTCGCGCACTTGACGACAGTGTGGAGAGGGCGTGCCGCGTTGCGAGGGTAGGGAACGCCCCAAACAGGACCCTAGCAGCTAGGGTGCACGGCCAGGCATAGCCCAGGGATGCGACTCGGGCTGCACGTGTGATTGGCGTCCGAGAGTGAAGAGAGTGAATGGTGGGGGCAGCGAGCAGCGAGCGTGGGTGCCGAACGCTCCACACACGCATCTCATTCTGCTCACCAAGGCCCAGCGTCACGACTCACGACCCACCCAGTGCCACCGGCTGCCCGTCGTACGCTGGAGCCCGCATCGCTGCAATTCAATTATTGCGCCGCTCACTGGTCCCGGGAGCGCGAACATTTCGAGCCTTGTTCCCCGTGGAGGACAGCAGCCACAGTCCAATATCTACTCGTGACCGGCCGTTGTCGCTGTGCAAGGCCAACACGCAGGCACAAGCTCACACACCGAATAACAACGCTCTAGGCCGCTCGAGCCTGGGTATTATTTCTCGCAGTCGCCTTTCAGTGCAGGGCCTACTTCGGCTTGGTTGCAGCTGAGGTCCGCAGCTAACGTGGGGTGCGCCCATCCGATTCAGAGCACGCGCCGACGCAGCTACATCATCGCTTTCCCGTGAGAGGCACGCTCGCAATATCCGCCGCCCACCAAAGAGGGCACCACCCCGTCTGAAAACCCATGGACTTTGACAGACCAGAGGGCCAAATGGAGGTTCAGTCGGCCCATGACACGAGCTCCAAGAGGGGCATGCTCCAGGATGCCATCTTCCCAGCATTCGGCAACGATGCGGGCACCCCCAGCGTGGAATCGCCAGAGCAACTGCAGAAGAACGACCCGCTGGGCACGCAAATCTGGAAGCTCTACTCGCGGGCAAAGACGCAGCTTCCCAATGCTGAGCGCATGGAAAACTTGACCTGGCGGATGATGGCCATGAACATGCGCCGCGCCGAGATGGATCGCAATAAAGGGTACGCATATGCCGCACTTGCTTTTGCGTCGCTACCACTTGACTACCCACGACCAGCTGGCTAACTGTGATTCCTCGCGCGCAGGCCCGCTCCCGATGCGCACAACACTGAACTGATGCCGCCGCCGCCCTCAACAGCAGGCGCAAGACCGCCGCCAAGATCCGCTCCCAGCGGAATCGCCCAGCAGCTGCGCAAGTCGCAGGACCAGCAAGCGCAGGTACAGCAGAACTCGCCCCACGACGCCATGAACCTGGACGATTTTATATTTCCGTCATCCGTCGGCAGTCCTGCAGGCCTGTCGCCCGAATTGTCGAATGAGGATGCGGCTCCATTTAATGCAACAGCCCCAGCGATACCGATAAGAAAGCCGCATCTAGCCAACGACCACAACCTCTCCCTCGCCCGCGCCTCCGCGCCCTCGGTGCCTCCTACTATCCACAGAGAGGATGAATTTGGCTACGTCCCGCGACACGTCCGCAAGACCAGCATCGACGAGCGACGAGTGAGTCTCTTATCTCTCGTCTATCATGTCCTCACTAACCTCTTATCAGCCTCCCAAGCGGCGCGCTGAAGCGTCTCCTCTGGTCCCTCCCGTCAACAGTATCATGATACCCACCGACGCCCAGGCTGAGCACGACCTGCACCAGTACTCGCTCGACCACTCCATGCAGCCCCCCACCTTCCCGGCCTCACAGGCCCAGGCCCCCTTCAGCATAGACACCTTCTCCATGCACGACGACCCCGTCATACATTCTGCCGGCCCTTACCAGCAGAACTTCTCGGGCTTCTCTCCTGTCGGCTCGCCCCTCATGAGCCACAACGCCTTCAACTCCAACATGTTCAACCAGCAGTCCATGGCCTCCTCCCTCAACTCCACCGACTACTACTCCCCACCCAGCTCCGCCTTCCCCTCCACCGTCTCCACTCCACAGCCCATACCCGAGGACAACCAGATGTACTTTGACCGGAGTGGCATGGACATCCGCAACTCGCACGGCGGCGCCTCGTATGGACCCCACCGACCCTCCAACCTGTCCACCTCCATGCAGCCGCAGTTCATCTTCAATCCCGGAGCTGGCGGTCCCGACTCTGTCTTCAGTCCAGTCACGAGCACTAGCGGCTCGCTACCATTCTCCTCAGCGTCGTCGTTCGGCCAGTCGAGTCATGTAGATCCGTCTCAAGTACTCCACAACCATCTGCCGCTACGACAGCAGCACGAGATGCAGATGGGACGTCAAGAGAACATGTTCACCTTTGGCGCAGATTCCGACGCCGAGGACGACGAAGGAAGCGCGTTTGCAGACCGTACCATGCCACAGGACTACTCGCAGATGGAGGACGGGTCACTTGACTTCAACGCTGGCTACCAGTGGGAAACAAATCTCTCGAATCAATTCAACCCGATGCAAGCGCGATACCCGGCAGGACCCCCACGCAAGACCGTCACAATTGGCGGCACGGAAATGGTGCACTCACCGCAAGACCACTGGAGTCCTGGGGGCAGTCTTGGGCGGACGCATGGCTCGGCTGCCTCTGTAAGCGACATACGCAATCGAGGGAGCGATCCACGACGCCAGAAAATACCCCGCACTAGCTCAACACCTAACGCTGCCGGAATGCTGCACCAGGGCATGCATGGTCTAGTCTCGTCACCCAATTCACCGCCAGAGTCTGGCTTTAATTCTGCAGCTCCATCACGGCCTCAGAGTCCTGGTGGCTCAAAGCAGGGTGACGGTGGTGCCCCCACAACCTGCACCAACTGCTTTACCCAGACGACGCCTTTGTGGCGACGCAACCCAGAGGGACATCCACTTTGCAATGCATGTGGTCTATTCCTAAAGCTGCACGGCGTTGTTCGGCCCTTGTCGCTCAAGACCGATGTCATCAAGAAGCGCAATCGCGGAAGCGGCAACGCACCTGTAGGCACAACGTCTACGCGATCGTCAAAGAAGTCATCGCGAAAGAACTCAATCGCGCACACTCCGGTGACGACTCCCACGTCCCACAAAGCGGCCGAGTCTGAGTCTCCAAAATCTACCGGTTCTGGTGGAGGCGCCTCGGGTACCATGTCCTCAGCTACCACACCGACATCCTCGAAACCGAGCGGTGTGGTTCCAATCGCTCCTGGTCCGCCCAAGTCCCACAGCTCCGTGAACTTGGCACAGACACGCACTGTCGCACCTGCGCCGAAACGTGTTCGTGGTGCGAGCAAAACGGAATCACAGGAGCTTGAAATGGGGGATGCGGACGATACGAGTGGAAGAGCGCCATTGCGCAGAAAAGACACTGCCATCGCAAGTCCCAGTCCTTTCCCAGGCCAGAACCTCGGCGCTCTTCCGATGGGTGCCATGGGCCAAGGCCTGCAATCATCCGGTCCTGCTGAATGGGTAAGTAACCTCTTCTCGAAGATCAAAAGTCAGACGCTAACGAGCTACTTACAGGAATGGTTGACTATGAGCTTGTGATCTGAGCAAATCCTTTGCGCATTCCTCATTATCCACCACCAATTCCCAAACACCAATCTGGGGGCCCTTTGGGGGCATATTACGAACCTATGTCTGCGTTTGCTTTCACGATGTACCCGGTGTTTCGGAGTTCCGCGAGCATGGTCATGCTAGGGGCCTATTTGCTTGTTCACCCACAAGTCTTTACCTCGCCTTGATACCTCCAAACTTTCCGCGATGCGATTTACCACTTGCAACGATAGACGCGGTCTGGCTTCTTTTTCCTCGTTTTTGTGACATACCCTGTTTGCTTTTGTTTTCCCAACCGGCTAGCCAGCAAGATGGAGGAGGCAGGCGCTCCATCACGTTGCAACAACTGCTCTAATATCTTGACGAAGACGTTCGGGCCACTTACTCGTATAAGACGTCCTGTCTTATAGGAATGAGGCGGCTCGTTTCACATTGCATGAGCTTATGAGAGAGAAAGAGAGATATCCCGGCGTTTCCACGCGAATGCATAGAAGAAGAAAGGTGGTGGCTTACGCATCTTCTGCACATTTTGGTGTCTTTCAACGATGCTTGCTGAGTTCGACTCGAGGGTTTTTTTACACACAGGATGAGAATCTAGGTGGGACTCCCTACGAGTTTTCATATACGAGCAAAGCACACAAGACGGGCAAAAGGTGTGTGTATATAGGAGATGTGGGAACCTAGACGATGTACTGTGCGGGTCTTTTTTTGTGATATCCTTGATGAACGATTTGGCTTTGGGCGTAACGCGGAGGAGAGGCTGCGAATGCTATATCTTTGACAACTCTTTTTACTTGACTTTTGTGGGGTTGGCTGTGACGAGTGATTTGTTACACGAACTAATTAGCTTGCCGCGCATTTACACTATCAGTGTTGAATTCCCTGCTCCTCATGCAATTTCTAGACATGTCTATGCAAAACGTTCGGAACGTGTTTCCGAGCCCCTCCTCTGCTCCGCATACGTCATGTGTAGCTAAAGTGTGGAGCCACCTGGGTTACTATGCTTACAACACCAGCCCTTTCCATCGACGACTACCCTCTAGTCTCGTACCACGACACAACGCTACTCGCACCAAGACAGTGTAAATGCGATAGTCCTCTCAATCATAACCCACGATGCCGAAAGTTCTGATATTGGTCGCGGATGGATCGGAGGAGATTGAATTCGTGACGCCTTACGACGGTATGTTTTGCAACATCAACTTTCTAACTTCAGATGATCTATTGGAAGCATATTATTCACGCTCACCAATCTGGTCTTTACTGCGCTTTGGCTACTTGATGCACATCTTCTGCCTCGCACGCGTGCACCCTGTACACACTCCTGCCGTTACTGAGCGCCTATATTCTCTTATCCCGAAGGACATGAGTAACGAAAAGGTTGAACACAAACAGAAACTGACAACTCATCCCCAGTCCTGACCCGCGCGGGCTTTGAAGTAAAGTCCGTCGGTGTAGCGCTTAAGAACGAAAATCATGCACAGTAAGAATTCCCCATCCCTATACTCCATCCCTATCCCCATCCCCATCCCTTCTTTCGGCCCTATCCCCTAAATATCCGCCCAAAAGTATAGCGACTCATTCGGGGTTTCAGCATGTCACGCAACATACGCATCCTGCCCGACTACCCAGACTTAAGATCCGTGCCTTTGAAAACAGCGCATGAAGACTACGACATCTTGATTCTCCCAGGCGGCGCACCAGGAGCCAAGACGTTCTGCTCCAGTGACGCGGTTCTGGAATTGATAGGTAACTTCCGTAAAAGTGGGAAATGGGTTGCAGCCATTTGCGCGGCGACAACGGCACTCGTTGCTGCGGAGTTAATTGCTACGGAAAAGACTGTGGATGGAGGCAAGAAAAGAGTTACGAGCCACCCTAGTGTGAGGGAAGAGGTCGAGAAGGCGAGGTGGGAGTATAGTGAGGAGGTAAGTTTCTGATTGCATGAGATGAAATGCATGTGAGACATATGCTGACTTTGTCCATGTGTCCCTTTGCAGAGGGTCGTGGTGGATGGCAAAATTATCACGAGCCGTGGGCCGGGCACTGCGATGCTCTTTGCGCTTACGATTGTGGAAGAGCTTTGTGGGAAGGAGAAGAGGAATGAGGTAGAAGGGCCGATGATTTGTGCTGAGACCTTGTAGGGAGAGGAGTGGATTCGATTGCTTGGCTTAGAAGCGGCCTTTGTGATTTCGATGTACGGTATCAAGGGGTAAAAAGACGTATTATGGTATTAGGTCATGGCTAGACCAAAGGGCATGGAACGGCTTTCCTTTACCCCCTTCCCCATCACTAAATCGTAAAAAACTCAAGATATCCCTCCATCTCCCCACCAACATACACCTTATGCACCCCAACATTCTCATTCACCATTCCGATCGCCCCAGGAAGATCCCTCAACCCCATTTCCTGTCCACTAATCTTCAACACAAGCATCTCCCCAGCCTCAAACACCATACCGGCCGGCCAGAGCTGCACACTCAGTCTTACCACCTCCCCCGGCACGACTTTCTCGTCGCGCTCCAGCGACAGCGTTTCCCACGTCTTCCCGCGCAGCGTGTCTGAGACATGGCGTTTAGACGCGCGCAGCATGCCGCTGGGACCGAGGTAGCGCCAGACTCTATTTCGCGTCATGTTTTCTACGGTAGGGAGGGGCGTGTTGGGCGGGATGGGGATGTTTAGGTGAGAGAGTATGGTTCCAGTTGCGGAGGCTTTGAAGATGTGGGCGTGGATGTCTAGGTCGTTATGCGTTGGTGCTGCGATGGAGAGGACGAGGGTGGGGGGGCCGGTTAGTACGGTTCTGTCTGGGAGGACGTATGTGAAGGTAAGTGAGGAGGAGGAGTCGGCTTGGTACGAGACGATGGTTTCTTCGAGTGGCGCGGTTGCAGTGAGGGTGCCCGTGGGACCGAGATGCAGTTTCTGGACAGTGGCAGTGGGGAGGTGCCATGGTAGATCTGGGTATTCTTGGTCTAACAGAGCTGGCTTGGTGAAGTTTAAAAAGGCTATGCGGACTGGTGCGGTCTGGGGCCAGTCGTTGGGGAGGCTTTTGAGGTGGAAGTCGAAGAATCGGGCGAGGTCTGCGGTGCGACTTACACTGTAGAGATCATACCATTCTTGGGAGGCGTGGAGAACGAGCCTAGGTACGGAGTCGTCAGTCTATCCTTGGGAAATATGGGATCGAGAGCAAGGGAGAAGTATGCGCACCACTTGTCTGAATGCTGGATCTCCTCGAAAACTCGTAGGGAGCCGATGGTGTGGACAGTTGATGAATAGCTGGCTCCGATATAAGCGGGAACCTTGATCTTCTTCATATCCACACGCTTATCATCGATGTATTCCCTAGGTACAGGATCCATCTTGGCCATTGCACCAAAATCTTCCACCATATTCCTTCCCATCAACATGGTTGCAATCCATTCATTAAACGCCGTATTCAGAATTCCCCCACGAATCGTCTGCTCGCGCAGAGGATCTGACAAACCTTCCAAAGGCGCAATACACACCAGATGCGGTGGCTGCTCAGCAGCGATAAAGTACTGGGATATTGCGAGCCAGGAATTGCCTGCTAGGGCTAATTTGCCAGAGCACCAGGGTAGTTTGGCGAGCTCTTCGATGGCGTCGCGCCCGTCGCGCCCTTCAGTGCTGCCCCAGAAGTGGATGTTGCCGGAGGAGTTGTTCACGCCTCGCGGGTCGACGTTGACGATGGCGTAGCCGCGGGGGACCCATTCTGCAGGGTCGAGACTGGAGTTGTGGTCAGTAATGGATTCACTTCGGATTTCGTGCTATCTTAGTTTTTTTGCTTACCCTTCAAAGTCTTCATAGCCGGATAATTGGGTTTCTGGTATACCAGCTCGCAGTGGCATGGTATGGATATTTAACATACCCGTTCCAGTTTTACCATATGGGCTCCACATGACGATTGCAGGAACTTTCTCGTCAGTTTTGGGACGGAATATGTCAGCGTATATCACCGTTCCATCTCGAAGCGTAAGAGCTTGATCTTGGTCGAAAATCGTCGTTGTTGTGAGCGGGCGGTATGTTGGTTGCTTTCTGTGACCAGGTGGCAGCTCGGTCGTCCTCTGATCCAGTGGAGGGATATTCTGCTTGAAGGCATCGCGGAATTTAACGTCGACTGAGCCAATTTTGAATTGAGCCATAGTAGCGAAGAGATGATGAATATGTATCAAAATACAATGTAGTTATGGGAATAGAATTGATTTGATCGTATCCCAATAGTCGAACATGCTACGCAATGGCCCTATTTGTTGCTTTTTGAAGCATACTTACCAACTTCACGACGCCGAGTTTGACTGCCGCATATACCGTTTCAAACTCCCGACGTTAAGGTGTGAGTAGGCTTGTGGTTAGAGAAATAGACGGAGGAAGGACTAAGAGCAGTGTGCTATACTTTCGGAATGTTTGTTCGCCCGGTTCCGTTGTTCGAAAATCGTACAACAGAACTGGGCGTGCTCGGCCGAAGACTTGGCACATCCCCTCCAACTACGTCTGATGCTAAAAGCGTCAAGACTGACAGGGTCGGACAGATACAATAGCTAGCTCCCGGTAGCTTCCTGGGTTAGGGTTCCTTCATCGCATACGTACGTGCGGCGCGCAGTAAAGCCCGGCATGCTCGGGTACCGACTACGGTAACTCTATAACAGTGGCTACACCACGAGATGTTTCCAAGTTGATATCATTGTATCCTTCTGTTCACCTCACCTCTGACCTTGACTTCGCTGCTCCAATCCACGGAATAAAACTTACCACCCTACCAAGATAAATAATGGCTACAATATCCAGCAAGGCGCTGTACGTCAACGATGACGGCCATATCGAGATTCGAAACGACATCAAACACGAAGACACTGCGGCCAACGAGATAGTGGTGGAAGTAAAATACTCAGGTGTCAACCCGGCAGACGCCAAACATGCACAACTCGGCATACGTTCGACAGTCAGTGGCTACGACTTCTGCGGCACTGTTGTATCGACACCTACCGGATCGCGGATCAAGACTGGAAGCGTCGTGGCGGGATATACACCCTCGGGCATTGGCCGATCTCTGAAGTACGGGGTACACCAAAGACGTCTCGCGTGCCCAGAAGACATGGCATTCGAAGTGCCGTCTAATCTTCCGGAGAGCCATGCCGCAGCGCTGACTGTAGTGGCAATGACGGCTGCAGACGCGGTATTCAATCTGTTCCAATTTCCTTTACCTACCGCTCCGACGGCATACACGCAGCCTGTTCTGGTTTGGGGTGCCTCTTCTGGCGTCGGCTTCAGCGCTGTGCAGTTTCTGCGTGCCAGTGGCTGCAAGAATATCCTGGTTACTGCTTCGCCAGCCCGTCATGAGCTGCTGAAGAGGATCGGTGCAACGCTGGTTTTCGATTACGCCTCGCCGACGGTCGTGTCGGACATCGTCGCTGCGGTGGAGGCTCTTGGTGAGGGCCCGATCTCTCATGTCCTGGACGCTGTCGGTACCTCGTCTTCAGCAGACCTGGTCGTGCGAAGCGTGAATGATCCTTCGGCTATTTTGGCTTCTGTAACCAAGTTCGATGGCGGGTTCCGCATGCCGGTTGCATACACAAAAGACGCCTGGCGCATTCAGCCACCTGGTGTTCCGCATGTGATCGACACCCCTGCCAGACCGGAAGACCATTGGCATGCTTGGATAGCATTGCAGTGGGCCGTGGAGAACTACGGCAGCTGCTTCGAGCTTCCGAATGTAGAAGTCTTCCAAGGCGCCGCTGAAGACGCATTGCAGGAGGTTATCAAAGTCGGCGGTTTCGGAAGAGGGTTTGGAAAATTAGTCATCCAACAGCCCTTGCAGTGAGTTGAGTTGTTGGCGTCGTGGAGAGGATTGATATTTCTTGCAAGGTACCGTTGGCGGTAATATGACAGAAGAAAGCGGACGATGATGTAGAGACCATGGGTGTGTTAGCAGAGGGTAGAGAGTCACAGGGAAGTAGCTCTCGCATCTACCCTTCTACTACTTACGGCTTTTCGAACTTATTACAGTCTGCTCCATCTGGCACCGTTGTAGTTGAAGTCTCTTATGGAACAGACGTGGATGCTGTGTGGGGGAGCTCTTAGCAAACAACGTATCAACTAATAGCGTCGCCTCGATCATCGCCTTACATATAGACCTCCACCGTCCTCTCCTTGGATTACCGGAGCTCTGTGTCTGTAGCAGGAAGCTTTGCCCTTTTCGAGATGCCCTTGCTTACAATGCACCCAGAGTGTCGGGCCCACCTTCTACAAGGACAACCCCACCATATGCACGATCATGCGTACAGTACCGGGTGCTTCACCTCGATAGGCGACATGCTTTCGTCTCCTTACCGATGAGCAACTTGTGATGATGTGTTTGGGCGTCTCATGTACTACCAGTCGGCTTTGCGTGAGCCAATGGAGGGGTATGGTTTTTATGGGAGATGCGATTGATGGGGGGTAAATCTCGGTGCAGACGTCGCTCTGTTGTTGGGGAACGAACTGGTCGCCTTGGCCTTTTGGACGTATACTTTGGTATTGCTGATAGAGTTTGGAGTAAACCATGTTACTCATTCACCAGCGTCGTGGTAGCAGATAACGGTGTGGTGGATGTCTAAGAGACCGAAAGAGGAAGGCATGCATTTGGGTGTGAACATAGGTCCTTCGCGCCCGAAGTTTAGGTCTAACGTCGGTGTATTCGCTGACTCGTCACTGATTAGGATCGTTCGATGCAGTCAATTTCAGACACCGGCATTTAGGTGCGAGCCAGTCTTGTGTGAGTAGCTGTCAACAAGTCCTTTCCTCACACGTGGTCGGAGTGACCTTAGTTACGCCGCACTGCTATCGCGGTAATCGCGGAGGGCGGTCGCCGAGGAAGTTTGAGTACCGGTAAGGATGCGCATTGTTCAAGGGATGTGAGCGTGGTTAGGTCTGACACCTCACCTCAAGCCACCTTGCGCACGACAGCTATACCACAGCATCAGTATAGCTCTACAACGAATTCGTAGAGGTTGAGGCGTCCAGGTGGAGTAATACTATCTGCTCAATCAAACATTCGACCATCCTTCTCCGTGCCGTACCTTCTCGAAGGCGCATCTGCGACCCGCCATCTAGGTTCAGCCGTGTGATGGGACGCTCCTTGAATCCACAACACGGTTGGGACATTGGATCATCACAACAAGCGCCAAACTGTAGTGCGTTACGGGCCGCAATCCAGCGGTGTGGGCGTCAAGAGAGCAGCATCGACTCGTGGGGACGGCAAAAGAGAGGAAGGAAGGTAGCACCAACAGCCATGTTGATTTGCCGTCTTCGCTTCAAGCGGCTAGCGCGAACCACATCGTGACAGCCCGTTGGTCGCCTCGTTATCTCCCACGCTCCATCCCATTCGCAATTATCCATTGTACACCAGTTCAGCAAGCAACGAAGCATTCAGAAAATGGCATATCGGTAATGGTGAACAGGAAAAAACAACAATGAACCGCATAGTTGGTGTAGTATTAGGCATCCACAAACACGCGCGAACCAATACACCGGGACATCGGTCACGCCCGCGTCCTTCAGCCGCACGGACATGCACTGTGGCCCTCCCTTCTTCGACGTATGCCGTCATTAAAGCAAAGCCTTTCTCGTAAGACCGCTTTGTAAGAGAAGGGATATGTAATGCCGTGCGGTAAGGGTGGGAAATGCAAGATGGGGGTTGGAAAGCGGCCTGTGCAACGTCGAGCTGCGTTCCAGTGCCTTTGCTTTTTTCCTCGTCTCGATTCAAACGGCATGTCAAAATGATGGTGTCCACGTCGGATTCATGTCAAGGGGTGGCTTTAGCCACTTATTCCTCCTCTTCTTTTCTTCTCTCCTCTCCTCCCTTCTCGTCGCCGCACCTGTCCCTGAGTGCGTTTCTCCTACCATCCGCGCACTTTCTTCTTCTTCCTCTTCTTTGCCAAGTGCCCTCGTCGAAGCCGTTACGCTAGCTCGGCCTTGAGGATTGCATCATCGAAATCGGGTAGCATTATCCAGGCTCAGAGTTGCTCTCGGTGAGGCTACAAAGGCCGTAGGTGGAGGCAACTGGCAATACTGGATCCGACTGAACCCCGTCAGTTGGGATGTTGCGGCAAGACTGTTAAGAGGTTGTGTCGAGATTGTTCACGATTAGAGCAGAAGAGTATACAAGAAGAGCTCATCGCAGATTCAAAGCGTATCACAATAAAATCCTGAGCTTCGCATCTACCTAGCCTAGAGCCCTATCGCGATCAACCTCAGAAACGAATACATCACATCGACTCGTCTCGTTCCGCTTTTCAATACGCCCATTTCACGACTCGTCTACGCTCGATACGACCCCATCCAACGCCTCCTGACCATGTGCTACATCGTCTACACCATACACGTGTGCAACCACTGGATACCCCAACCGCAACCCAACAACGGTCCCATACTACGCATATGCGAAGAAGCGGAAAAGCTACGCCTCGGACACCCCTGCCCGGAAACACAACGAGAGCACAAAGTCATGAACCGAAGTCAAGGCATGTGTACAGGCTGCATGTGGAAGAAAGTCAGCAAGTAAGACCAGCACCACACAGATGGTTCAACGTTGGACAGGAAGAAAAAGCGGGGACTTTGTGTGGGGGTTCCAAGACGAAGACAAAGAGCCGCGGTAGAATGAAATAGCAGGAATGTGGAGATGGGATAAGGAAAAGGAAAAGGGAAAAGAACAGGATTACGGGGTCGAGAAGGGCCGAATATCTGCCTTCTTTGCTCGTTTAGCCTTCAGAGGCGGAGTCGACCGTCAACCGTCGACCGCTTCACTCTGGTTTTCCAACTTCCAAGGTTCTGCATCGCGGGTGGGCTGGCGCGGTCATGATGACAGGCACGCGCCGAAAACAAGGCCGTGTGTGAACGCCCACCTTCCCAACAGGAACCGCCATTGCGAGGCTGAGAGAGCAGAGACACGTGCAGCTTAGCTCTGGCGATGCATGCACGATACGGCCCGGGTCTCGGTCCGATCAAGGTGTCGGATTTGCCGTTTGTCTGGGGGATTCGCTGGGTGAGCTTGAGCGTTCTTGAGGCGCTGCGGAGTTGACGGAGTACAAATATACCCGGGAGGCTTTTATCTTTTTATGTTGGTGTTTGGGATAGATGAGGTTTTGTGGTATGTGACTATCGATAGTAAGGTATTTCTAGTTCACGGTATAGCAGACTATTGCGATGGCAAGAGCTTGATGTCTCCATATCCAAGTTCCGCCTTACGCGCAAATCAATGCTTGAAGTGCGTATCCATGCATGCTACCCAGTTTAGCCTTGGGTAACGGGTCAACTCTCTCCGTCATAGCCATGTGCTTTCCAAGGGAGCCAAGAGAGGCAAAGCCTTTCAAGCATTGGCCGTCTTGTTACTAACATTGGAGTCTTACTCCAAGTCTCCAATTGACTTTTGTCTTGATCGGAGACGCCGCGTGTTATCAGGGCTTGTTCATGTCAGACAATGGGCAGCGAGCGGAAGTAACCAGCGGCTTGTTGCGGTTCGGCGCAATTTCTCCAGTGTGATATGGGGACCTGATCGGTTTTCTTGTAGTAGCAGTATAGGTATCCGCGATATGCGACCTGGTGTTTATGCTGCACAGGTGCGACGAGCTTGGAAGGGGGATGCTGTTACAATTCTGTGTACGAATCGAAGGCCATGCATCACACGTTATACTCTCGCATTACCTACCGTCCTGTGCCGTTGTACATGGTTCCTGATCACCCAAGATGATTCCGTTTATAGCTCGGAGGGGGATCGTCCGTGTTGAAAGTAGTATCGTTCATCCAGATTACAGGGTCTTTTCAACATGCCAAAATAGTGACTTAACATCACTACAGACAACAAGCGACGTGGAATCATATGCATGAAACCCCAACACGTGGTGCAAGGAGTCGAGTTTATACTTTCAACCATTCCCAACACAGCAGCATTTGCGCCAAGCACATGATCTCGCACTCATGGTTGAGATGTACTGAGGAGACCGTACTAGAAACGCAAAATCGACCTAACCAATACTTGGACGTTAGATGTAACGAAGCAAATATCTCATACCTTCTAGAACAAATAAATCTCTCTCCGAGCATGTCTAAGGCCTCTTGATCCTGAGATACTGGGCTGGACGATTTTTCGACGCTTGATATGATTGTGGAACGAGCACAACGAATGCCACGCTGATCAAATTGATGGAGGCATGATAAATAGGTGCACCTGAAGCAGTTGCTGGACTTCAACGTGTGGGGTGATCCTCACCTCGAAACGTGTGGCAAGATGAGAAAGCGTACGATACCAGGCAATGATACCATTCGCATTGCATTGCTGCATACGTAGTATGATATGTTGGCAACATGTTTATGTATAGCTTAAGGTATGCCTCTACTATAGGCTTCAACGATACCCTTTTGTATGAGAAGCGTCTATTTAGACTGTAAGTAATACGTATTCTAATAATCTCTTGTGACTGTGGTGTTGAGTGTAAAGAATGCCAGGACGCGTAATCCCCGTCTTACAGTGACATATAAGACAATGTGCCTATGCGTACAGGTAAAAGATAGAGAAGGCTTCGTATTTCGTAACTCAGATCGTGAGAAAGAAACGTATGATTCAGTATGAAAATGAGAGGCCCCTCATCGTGTGTATTGCCAGCGACGTGCTGAAGATGCGAGAAGAGGCATGATCGCGCACATCATACCACGTGGCTTAGCATCCCGGAGATATGTCCATGAACTTACCATGCGACGCAATAGGTGTTCCTGGCTAGTGATTGCTGAGTTGACGCTATCAGATTGAGTGGGAAAAGGAAATCCTGACCCGACAAGGAAGCACCCATGAAGCTTGACTCGTCAGAATACGAACGGAACCGTGGACAGTCATGCCGATGCACTCTTGAATGTCGGAGTCTCACCCGATAGATCGTGCGACACAGCCATGTGCCAGCAAGACAGAACTGAGCGCGATGAACATTAGGCGTAGAGCTGCGCCTGTAGAATCTCCATACTTCCGCCTTCGGGATCGGTTCGGCACCAAAGTGACGATAGCCGTAGCGAGCAGCGCCGCATCAGCCACCACACCCCTGCGCTCAATTTTGCTTTTCTTGATAAAGACGGCCTGCAGCCCGCATGATTGCTCATGCAGCCCGTTTCGACCTCGGGAATGTCATCCCGGAAGGAGGATGGCTGTGGTCCCACCTGTCAGGGTTGCACCGAGAGGCCGCCCGAACCCACACAACCCTGAGGCGAACATCTTCATGGATGATGACAAGCTCATGGCGTACACGAACCAAAGTTTTTCGCAGCCAGACAGACCGGCTCTGGGTCGAAAAGCGTGGCAAATTTCGGTGGTGGAGGCTCCCTGAAAAAGCGAGCGGGGAATATTGCGGGCCTGAGGGAATGCAAAGGTAACACAACGCATCATGCGCTTTCCCGTTTTCTTTGAGCACTTTCTCTGGGCATGCAGCTTCCTGTTGCTTCGACAATCGAGGGATCAAGTGGGGGGATAAGTGGGTATCGGAAAATGCTTGACCTTCCCTCCGCTAGCCAGCCGACTAAGGGTGTTGTCGGACAGAACAGCGAGGTTGCACAACCTGTCAGCTAACGGCCTTCACCAACCACTCATCTGTGTCGCCGATCGCCTGCATTAGCTATATGCAGACTCACCCGGAAAGCAGTGTAGAGGCGAAGATCGCAGCAACTCGCGGATAGAGCCATGTTCCAGATGTTGTACTCTCTGGGGAGGAACAGTTTGCCAGTCATGCCACAGCTCTGAACGGCGCGCAGCATGCAGGCGGGTGGAGGCATCAAGCACCGTGAAACGTTCGGATGTGCGATAGTAGTAAGTAGGGGTGGGCGTGGATTACCGCTGGTATGGACGAGGAGTATTGGCTAAATACATGGCCTGCCTTGTTCGCCAATGCGGGGAGGCGGTTTATTGATAGATGGTCATAGTCCTCGTGTTGGCGGCTTATGGCAGGATATGTTTGCTTGCGACGCAGTTCAGCAGGGGCTAGCGACGTAGGATAACAGAGTTTCCTCATCCAAGGACGAGACCGAACAGGCCCTTCTGCAGCATACACTACTAAAAGTACACAGATTAAAAATTCCAACATCAATGTAGGCGTCTCGGTTCTCTAATAATGCAATAATGATTTTTACTTTCTGGAGTGACAGGTTTCCATGACTAGGGTGGAGTCGACAGAAACAAATACTGGGTGCCGCTCGTCAGGCAGTTAGATGATGAACGAAGCAAAATCCCCGGGCCGCAGCCGCCAGTTGGAGTGCCAAGACGAGGCTCAATCCTTCGCCGTCCCACAAAACGTTTCAAAAGGACAATCGCACTCTGCAAAGGTCGCGTCGCTGATGACAGGATGGAGTGTAGATATGTATATATCAAAGATCGACAAACTCTCGGCTTCTCGGGTCACGATGTGAGCGGACGGGCACAATGCAGATCTGAGCCTCGCCATGACAGACACGGACGCGAAGAACGTTTTGCTGGTGCGTTTCGCATGCGCCTCGCCGTTACCGCGCAAATCTGCCGCGTTCAGACAGAATGTACTGCAGACAAGACTTGGAAGATTGAGAACTGACAGTAGCTCAAAGTGGCAGCGAGATGTTAATTGTTTGGTGAGGGAACTAGATGGACCTTCCGCATCGGTAAGACGCAGTCCCTTTAAAAACAGCCTCGCTTACCGGCACGGCTTTGATGACGCGCGCAGGCCAGTCCTGGATCCACAAGCTGGAGTTTCACGTGGGTGCGGTTCTTGAGCCCAGATGCTAAGAGAGGGGCTTTTGCTAGCGGCGGCCCGATGTCCTTTTCTCGGTCACGCTGCTCCGTGGACACCAGCGACGGAAACGGTATCGACAGATGTGCTACGGGTGCGGTGGGCTGCAGCACGCCAAGGCAGGTGGACGCAATCAGTGCTCGAGTGAAAGGCGGCAGATGCCAGCGGCTTGGTCCTGCACCGAGGCGACACAATCCCGGTTGCATGCTCATGCGCCAACAAGTGATCGACTCTTGTCAGATTCAGGCTGCGGCAGGGGGTGGATTGGGTGACACGAGCCTTTTTGCCGAGGACGCGGGAGCGGAGGACAGCTGCGTCACATTGCGATGCATGCCGAGAGCCGCTAAGCAGACGACGGAGGCTTCTCTGTTCCCATGTGGAGGCTGGCTGATCGCCCGCCCCCGGCCTTTGGACGGTACTGCGTGTGGGTGCGCACCACCTGTGTCAGCACCATCGTAGGCCTTGGTGCCCCTTTTGCAGGCCCTATATCAGCCCATTCCTGGCGGTTCCGAAATGACAACCATGCCGTTTTACCTAGTGGGCTGCGCGAGCTGAGCACTCCGTAGGGCGACTATGGGGGTCTGGGTGGCTGGCATGGTAATCTGGCGACGCCCCCCAGAAAGCCCCGCTACGCCAACAGGCAGTCTCGGGAGAAGAAATGCACCATCAGCGTGGGTGTCGCGCTGTGTTGGGTGCCTTGGGGAGAGTTTGTTTTGCAGGGAGAAAGTTGAGGCTGGAACATGCTCGAACCGTGATCCACATGTGTTCGCAACGTCCAACGGCCCCTGCGACCGTGTCTCAGTAACTCGTTCAGGCAGAGGGTGTGGCGTTCTGCGCTGGCAGTGTATCATCATGGCAGTCGAAAATCGGCGAACCCAGATTGATGTGTCCTCTAGATGCGGCGCATATAGCGTGATGGCGGCGGTAGCGTGTCAATCCATCGGCTCCGCTGTTGGGTGAACCTGGGACGAACCGTACCAGATCCGACGGAACGATCTGAAACAAACACTTCGATCTACCAGAATTACATTGCCTGGAGCAGCGTAGTCAAGCAGTCTGGCTCGTCTGTCACCTGGCACCAATGTGATGTAGTACAGTAAGGCGCCGGCGGTGGTTGCATGGGTCGCGGCGGATAGTCAGCGCGTCGATGCTAGGCACGTAATTTACGGCCCACTGGCTGGCACAAAGTGGGTCTTGGGCTAGCCGTGCACGCTAAACCATGCATCCCTGCAACATTTGGTCCCCTTACCCACGTCTGATGGAAGGGACGTTGGAGCGCCCCTTCCATCTGTTGGTCTGCGGCTTCCTCATCTGTTTTCTCTTCCGCGAGGCTGCACCCTACACCAGTCCTTCCTTCTCAACACACGTCGTGGCGAAGACCACCACATTGATTGTTGCTCTCTGACAGCTCTGCACTCCAAGTCGGGGTCCACACCGTCCGTGTTCCTCTGCGCGCTGCTGTCCTTCTCCGCGCCAACCTCCACGCCTCGACTCGCACCCGTCAGTACGCTTGCGAGACGCGCTCCCACGCCCGACTGTATGTAGCCATCCTCCATCACCGCCATCAAGTACCATCTCCTGACTCATCCAGATAGACAGCCCGGCGATCCTTCAGTTGCTCCAGTCTGGTCTTCCCCTCCATCAGACTATTCCGTCACTGTCGCAGCTTCAGTAGCGCAGACGTCGCATTGTAGCCAGATCGGTCGCAAACAGCCTTCATGGCACAACACCAACAACCCTCGCCCACCACGGGCATGCCTCCGCATCATGTAGGACAGCATCCCGCGCACGCGCAGGTGAATGGACACCAGCCGCACGCGACCCAGCCCAAGACACCGTCGCAGTACTTGGGGCAATTGACCGAGGCTGTATGGACTCAGATGGGTAAGCCAGTATCCATTGCGCGCAGGACAGACATAGACTAACACCCAGCAGGCTCCCTCTCTGAGCAAATGCAAGACTACGACGGCGCCATGCAATGCTATGAACAGGCCTTGAAGTTCAACCAGTGGTCTGTGCCAGCTATGCAAGGTATCGCGTGCATTTTGCGCACCAAGGATGCCTTTCCAGCAGCTGTCGAATACTTGCGTACTATCCTCAAGGTTGACCAAGCCAATGGCGACGTTTGGGGCAGCCTCGGTAAGAAGTCTGCGCGCAGCTCTCGCGAACCATCTCACTAACAGAACCAGGTCATTGCTACCTGATGATGGATGACTTGCAGCAGGCGTACTCTGCCTACCAGCAGGCGCTATACCATCTGTCTGATCCAAAGGAGCCCAAGCTATGGTATGGCATTGGAATACTCTATGACCGCTACGGATCCCTTGAGCACGCCGAAGAGGCCTTTTCGCAGGTAATGCGCATGGAGCCTACTTTCGAAAAGGCAAACGAGATCTACTTCCGCCTTGGCATAATCTACAAGCAGCAGCAGAAGTTCAATCAGAGTCTTGACGTAAGCATACTTAAATCTCATCACACGAAAGTTTCTAACAGTTGGACAGTGCTTCAAATACATCGTCACCAATCCTCCTCGCCCACTGACTGAAGAGGACATCTGGTTCCAGATCGGGCATGTGTACGAGCAGCAGAAAGAGGTTTGTCTCACCAAGCTTCGTAAGCTTCCATCGCTGACATGACGACTAGTTCGAGGCAGCCAAGGGCGCCTATCGCCGAGTTCTCGAGCGTGATGCCAACCATGCCAAGGTCCTACAGCAGCTGGGATGGCTACACCACCAGCAGAGCACCAACTACGCTAGCCAGGAGCAGGCCATTGAGTACCTGGAGAAGTCTGTTGCTTCCGGTAAGCATTGTATCCCCATGTAATTATGCGCGTGTATCTAATCCATTGCTTCAGATCAAACCGACGCGCAGAGTTGGTACCTGCTGGGACGCTGCTACATGTCACAGCAGAAGTACCCCAAGGCGTACGAGGCTTATCAGCAAGCTGTGTACCGTGACGGCAGGAACCCAACATTTTGGTGCAGCATTGGTGTACTGTACTACCAGATCAACCAGTACCGCGACGCGCTAGATGCATACTCCCGTGCCATCCGCCTTAACCCTAACATTTCAGAAGTCTGGTACGATCTCGGCACACTGGTAAGTACTCCATCGTCCCTGGAATGAAAGCTCTTCACTAACAATGGCGCAGTACGAGTCTTGCAACAACCAGACAGCGGATGCCCTGGACGCATACCAGCGCGCGGCCGACCTCGACCCGTCTAACGTACACATTAAGGCTCGCCTGCAGCTTCTGCAGAACGGACAGACCTCTGCCGGCGCCCCAAACCAGGGCAATGCTCCTATACCACAAGACGTGCACCCTCAAGCCTACCAGCCTGCCTCTGTACATGGACCTACTGCTCCACAATGGGGCGCACCTCAGCCTCAGCAGCCTCCGCAAGGTCCTGCTCCTCCAGCCCTAGCGCCCGGATGGGATCGCCCTCTGGCACAGATCCGCGACCCTGGCCTTCCACCACAGCAGCTGAACCCATATGAGCAGCGCGAGGGCATCCGACCGCCTACACAGCATGCTCCCCAAAGGCCCGTAAGCCCTAGACAGGAAGCTCCCAGGTCATACGCAGAGCCTCCTCGTCCTCCCACAAACGGTCCGGGCCCTCAAGGGCCAGCTGGTCCCCCACCACCCGGACCACCCGGGCCAATGCGCCGTGGCATGTCTCCATCACCGAAGACACACCATGCTGCTCCCAGTCCTTACCACCCCCAGCCGCCGCAGCTGACACCGCAGGCGGCTCATGCGCAGCCACAGCCACCTCTACCGCTACACCAGCAACAGCAGCCACCTCAGCCTAACCGTATTTCCAACCCGAACTACGGTCCTCACGCTGGTAGTGTTCCTCCTCCACCCCCACCCCCACCTACTGGTCTCGGCGGTCCGCCATCTCAGGCTTCTAACCAGAACGCCGTGCCCCCATACGGTGTTCGCCCTGCCAGCCCACCTCCAGAAGTGCGCCCGATTGTTGAGAACCGAGCGGGATCTCCACGCAATGGATATCAGGGACCATACCAGCACCATGCTGATCCTTCTGCTACTGGTGGTATTGCTAGCGGAGCTCCTCCACCAGCTTCTGCCCAGACGGCTGCTGAGCAAGCAGCCCGCGAGCGCGACGACCGACCGCCGACTGCTCCACCAAAGCGACACCGTGAGTGGGAAGAAAATGACCACGCAAATGCAAAGCCTCCCATGAACGACGAGAAGCGTCAGAAGATGGAAGAGCCTCACAGCCGCCGTCCAACTCCCCCACACCGCATGTCGTCTCCTCAGGTGCCGCGCCAGAGCCCTCAGGAAGGTCCTGATCCTCGGCGCTTCAATGATGGCTACCACCCATCTGAGGCTGCTCATCACCCGCCCTCGCTCCCACCCATGGCAGCTGCGCGACCATTGTCTCGCATGTCGGAGACACCAAAGCAGGAGCGTATAGAGCGACCTGAGCACCACGAGCCGGCTGCCCGACAGATGGACGTGGATGAAAACTACGATGATGAGGGCGATGACGCGAAACCTACCGCGCCCAAGTCTGAGCGCAGTAGCCCTCGCAACGCGCCTACCAACGGCGTTCCTCCTCACGCTCCTACACCAGCTGAACAAAAGTCTTAGAAGGATACTGCCGTACTCTTTGGTCATCGATATCTTTGGTCAGCACTAGAATTCTGACGGGGTTTTGCTTTCTTGTTTTTGCAATTAGTTACATGAGATTTGGGGAGTTGGGAATGTCTAGTTGAAGGGCAAAACATGGAAGAGACGTGGTAACGTACTTCCGCATGGCGATGATACCCTGCGCGCCTTACATAGTCTCCGCGCTTTTCGAGTGTTGTATGTATTTCTTAATCACCCACGAGAATGAAAATGCGATTGTTCCTATATACCGCTCTGCCTTGGTGTGCACTATGATTCGATCGTATCAATATCAGTGACTACTGTTGATCAGTAGCGCAGGTGGTGCAATTACTCGCAGTGATTAAGGTCGGCGCAAATGGTGGGGTTGCTCACCTGCTCGTGGAAACGCCCGCAGTTAGCTGCTGTTGCGTCATCGCAGCGCGCTGCATCGCGAAACCATGGAAAGGCTTGTCCAACATCTTCCTCGTTATACCGTACACCCTGACTACGCGAGGCTCTCCTCTGTCTCATATATCCCCAAACGATTCACGCGCCATAACAACCAGCCATCCTCCTGTGTCGCTGTCCAAAACCACCAGCCCACACGTCGCACCCTCCACTCCATCGTCTCCGTCTCACGTCCTTTCCTGCCAATACGTGCTTGTTGCGTCAAAACCGTTCGCCTGACCGCCCTTCGTAACATGTCTTCCGACGCCGACTACGCCGCTTTTCTCGACAAAGCAAATCAGGACACTGGCTCTGCGGAGACCAAAGACGCGTCGCAGAAGAAGAGCTATGGCACTAAGAGCGTGAACACGGCCGTACCCAAAGCGCTCGAACAAGTAGAGGAATACTATGTCAGCGACTCAGATGAGCCGTTTGAACCGGTTGCGCTAGAGTTTGACGGCGACAGCGTGTCTGCTGGTACGAATACCTCCGCTTCCACGCGCACGACAAGGAGAGGCCTTGCGAAGTACAACATTCGGCTAACATACACACAGACGATCTGAAGAAACTCATCGGAAGCGACTCGGTAGAGGAGGCCAAAGGCACCGGCTTCGAGAGCCAATACAAGAAGATCATCGACGCGGTGAAGGCAGCCTGCAACGGCACCGTCAAGGTATTCCGAGTGGAGCTGTCGGGCACTAGGGCAGAGTACTACGTGGTAGGCGTGGACAAGGCGGAAGGCAGGATCGTGGGTCTCAAGGCTCTTGCCGTAGAGTCGTAAGCAGCAATGCACCGGGAAATGAAGAAATGAAGATGATCACGATGCGCTGCGTCGGATTGTACGCATGCCGATCTACATCGAACTCGTTCCTTCCTGCGATGATGGGGCTCGGGTGACCATGGCGCGAATAACGCCGTTTGAAACACGTCGCGCACGCTGGGTTATGGTTGACAGTCAACGGGTCTCACTGACATGATGGTGGAGCGTGCAGGTTAATGATGCGACGTCAGAAATTCGATCCTAGGATGCAATCTGCTGGTAGATCTGCGCGACGTGCTTCTCTACATATTGTACGGTTGTCATAGCTTCGGGCTTCAGTGCGGACTTGTTTTCTCC